GTTAATATTGTTGAAAAAGCTTTCCAATTGATTTCATATTTTTAGAAAAGGTTTTACAATTATTTAATGTTATGAAAATGTTTAATTTTGTGCTATTTTGATATTTTTTTATCTAGTGATTTTTGTTGTATAATATATATATTTTTTACATTTTAATATGTTGAAAAAAAAACCATTTGAATCGTTTATCAAAAAATATTAATTGTTTTAAAAGCTAATTCATCAATATTAAATCGAGGCCCTACTTTGGGAGCTCCCACAGACTGCAGGTCTAATGGAAAAAAATGATAGTGTTAATATGTCAGTAAAAAGCAGTTTCCAAAAACAAATAGTTGCATTTTCCAATGTTTTAGCTAATTGTTTTTTTAAGAATTCTTATTCAAATTATATGAGTGTCAGAATATTTATTGTGAATTACTACGCTAATGAAGTTTATTTCCTAAAGGTTATTTACTAAAATAACTAAACTTTGTGGACAGGATAGTATTTTGGAACCCAGAATTGGAAAGTGATCTGAAACAAATGCAGATATTATTTGGCGACACAGATTGATATACAAGGAACTGTCACTTGGAGGAACTGATACAGTCTAGTAGCTAATTAAATCTATATTTTTCCAAAGCAAATTTGCACTTTTGTGTTTTGAAGTTTTTATTTACTTTTTATATCCTCATCTTAGGGAAGATGGTGGCAATGATGACCAGGAAGTGCTTTTAGTGTACGAACTGTCACCATCATGTTTAGTCTGACTACATTAGAGGTTATCAAATATTGGACTGCATGTTATTAATCTGTTACGTATTAATAAGTACTGCAAGAAAAAAAAAAAACAAGAAACACTCCTATTTCATAAATCCGTATCTAAGCTCAGTGTAGTAAAAATTAATAATATTTAAAGTGAATTATATTTTATATATAGTCAACATATTTCATATATATATATATATACATATATATATATATATATATATATATATAGTCAATACAATGTTAAAGAAAAATCTGCACACCAATCAAGCCATAAAACTTGCTTTTCCCACAGAAATCACAAATTTGCAGTGATGTTACTATTGCAAAGGATTCTGGGTTGGCATATGAAAATTAGTTCAACAAAGAAACAAATTTTTGCCTCATTCCTTTTTTACCCCTTAAGGACGGCAGGCGTGCTATGCCGTCCTTGGGGACCCAGCTCTAAACGCTGGTGGGCGGCGTAGTACGTCCCTGTCATCCAGGGAACTTACCTGCTGGCGATCTCTGGACTTGCTTCCTGGGTTATCAGGCAGGTCCCGCAAATTGTAATTAATAAAATGGCTTAACTATGTAAAAATATTACATAAATATATAACCCAGGAAGCAAGTCCAGAGAATTTAATTTGCTAGCACTATATTTAACCCTCTAACTTTCCAAGCCACCATAAAACCTGTACATGGGGGGGTACTGTTTTACTCGGGAGACTTCTCTGAACACAAATATTAGTGTTTCAAAACAGTAAAATGTATTACAGCGATGATGTCATCAGTGAAAGTCACGTTTTTTGCATTTTTCACACACAAACGGCACTTACACTGACAATATAATTGTGATATGTTTTACAGTTTTGAAACACTAATATTTGAGAATACCCCTCATGTACAGGTTTTATGGTGTTTTCAAAACTTTCAGAGTCAAATGTAAGGCTTGTGTTTTCAGTTTTTTCACATTAATATTCGCCAAATTGGTTACGTTGCATTTGAGACCGTATGGTAGCCCAGGAATAAGTATTACCCCCATGATGGCATATCATTTGCAAAAGTAGACATCCCAAGGTATTGCAAATGGGGTACGTCCAGTCTTTTTTTAGTACCCACTTAGTCACAAACACTGGCCAAAATTGGCATTCAAATTAGTTCTTTGCATTTTTCACACACAAAAAGATATAAACGCTAACTTTGGCCAGTGTTTGTGACTAAGTGGCTACTAAAAAAGACTGGACATAGCCCATTTGCAATACCTTGGGTTGTCTAATATCGCAAATGGTATGCCATCATGGGGTAATTCTCATTCCTGGGCTACCATACAGTCTCAAAGGCAACGTAACCAATATGGCGAATTTCATTGTGAAAAAACTGAAAAATGTAATATGCTATATTTGACCCTGTAACTTCCCAAAACACCATAACACATGTACATAGGGGATACTGTTTTACACGTGAGACAACACTGAATACAAATATGTGTATTTTTTTTTATTCTTAATGCTTTTTATTGAAAAATTTTGTTTTAAAATTACAAATACTCACAATAATACATACATACATGCACACAGAATTAAATCCGACCAATGAAAAAACTTTCATTGAAGTATGTCCATCAGTCAATCGATCGGAGAAAAGAGAAAAAAAAAAACACACAACAACTGGAAGTCGAAAATATTAAGTTCAGTATATCAAAAGATGATAAGAGGTGTGACAATGGAAATAGGCACAGATTTACATATATATTCCAGTAGGAAATGGATACAGAAATTAACTACTATAATATAAATAATATTAACAATAAAATAAATTTCACTTCCCAAATAACATTTTATCTTTCATAAACACAATGTCTAAGAGATTTTTGAGTTGCCATATAATAAAGAACAGTTTTTTAACCAAGTAGAATACCAATCACTTTTTTTTTAAAACACTGACCAATTTTTTAGCATTTAATTTTCCATTGTCAATTGAAATTTAATTTGGTTAATTAGGGAAATTTTCTGAAACGAAACAGAAGATTTCCACTGTCTAGCTATAATGATTTTAACTGCAATGAAGCAGTGAATTGCTAAACAAATATGTTTATTTGATTTAAAAGGCAAATTCAGGTGAAGGAGGGCCGATACTGGGTTTTTGTTTATATCTTTAAATGATACCTCTTTCATAGATATTTCAGAAAAAATATTATAGGTCCAAGCCCATAGTGGTTTTACTGCTGGGCAGAACCACCATATATGTATATATGTACCCAGGTAGGTACCACATCTCCAACAAGTAGAATCTTGTGAAGAATACATTTTAGCTAATCTTGTCGGGGTGTAGTACCATCTATGGAGTAACTTAAAGTGACACTCAGTCAAGTTTAGACCATGGACAAATTTGTTTACTAAAATTATAGAAGAGAACCATTCCTTTGTGGAAATGACTAAATTAAGATCCTTTTCCCAAGATTTAACCAATTTATAGGGAAAGGTATTTAAACCTTTAAACAACATATTAGCTACCGAAACAACCTTGGGTACAGTTTGAAATGAAAAAAGAATTTGCAACTCTTTAGCCCGAGGAAAAGAAGATTGAATAACATGTTTCTGAATATAATGTTTAATGCGGAAATAAGTAAATAGTTCTTTAGATGGAATATGAAAATTATCCACAATCTGTTGAAATGGTAAGATATCATCGCCCTGCATAATGTCCGATAAAATTAGTATATCTTTGTTAGGCCAGTGTCTCAATGACAGATCCTCTACATTATTTTCTAATATATTTAATTTACATGTTTTGGGGATTAAATAACTTACACCCAAAATTTTTCTGATTTCAACCCATGTTTCCAAAGAGTGAGCCAACGATATTAAGCCTTTAGGCAAATCCGTTAGAAACTTCCCAGGATCTGACCATATATATGGATAGAGAGCAGATACATATAGCGCTTCAGACTCCAAATTATACCAGGACTCAGAAAAAAAAAAGGTTCTTGTAAAATATATATATGTCGTATAATATTGGCATAGTATAGATTAGTAATATTTGGATAATTTAGCCCTCCCTGAGAGAATTTGTTAGAAATATATTTTTGAGTTATTCTAGGTTTTTTATTCTTCCAAATAAATTTATTTATGGCAGATTGTATCATAAGAAGCCACATCTTAGGAATTTGTCTCTGGTGTCTCTATAAATGGATACCAGGAGACAAAAGGGCCACGAAAGAGTATTGTGCATGTGTTTGGAGCCTGCTTGGGGTATTGCGTGTGTGCAGAGTGAGCTGGTCGTGGTGTGGTATTGTGTAATAAGGTCGGTTTTAGTTGTGTTGTGTTTGTGGTGTAATGTAATGCATATGTGGCTAGGGGCTTAAGAGAATGTGTGTTTAGGGGATGTAGCAAGTGTGTGTATACAGGCTATAGTGTGTGTGTGTGTGTGTGTGTATAGGTGATGTAGTGTTTGTAGAGAGTGTGTGATCAGGGAATGTGGTATGTGTTTGCTTACAAGGAATCTAGTGTGCGTATAGGGGATCCAGAGTGTGTGTGTGTGTTTGAAGGACCCAGAATATGTATAGGAGATCTAGTGAGCGTGCGTATATAATGGATTCAGAGTGTATATAGGGATCTAGTGTGTGTATGTGTGTAGATGATCCAGAGTTGGGTAGAGGATCTAGTGTGGGTCTGGAATGAAATGTGTTTAGGGGTGCTGTGTGTGTGTGAGGGGTGCTGTGTGTGTGTGAGGGGTGCTGTGTGTATATTTATATGTGTATATATATATTATATAAATATGTTTGGAAGTATTGTGTATGTGTGTGATGCAATGTATCGGGGGGTTGTGTGTGTATGTGAGGGGTGCAGTATGTGTGTGTGATGGATCCTGTGTGTGAGGTGTGGGTGCTGTGCGAGCGTGCTGTGTGTGTGAGGGTGCTGTATGTGTGGGTGCTGTATGTGATTGATTTGTGTGAGGGTGCTGTGTGTGTGGGTGCTGTGTATGATGTGTTTGAGAGTGTTGTGAGTGCTGAGTGTGATAGTGCTGTGTATGATGTGTGTGAGTGCTGAGTGTTATGTGTTTGAGAGTGCTGAGTGTTATGTGTTTGAGAGTGATGTGTGAGAGTGCAGAGTGTGAGAGTGCAGAGTGTGATGAGTGTGAGAGTGCAGAGTGTGATGAGTGTGAGAGTGCAGAGTGTGAGAGTGCAGAGTGTGAGCGTGCAGAGTGTGAGAGTGCAGAGTGTGATGTGTGTGAGAGTGCTGTGTATAAATGTGTGTTCACTCTCGCGAGATCGGGGCGTTGCCATGGCAACGCGCCGGATCTAGCGAGAGGAACCCGGCGGAGCTGCAAGATAGAGATCCGCCGGGGTCTCTCCCTCACTCCCCAGCCGCAGGTCTGTTTAAATGGGCCGGTGAGGGAGATCTTTGATCTCCCCACCGGTCCTTCATGGCAAACAGCGGGGCCGGCGCTCGGATAGTGCCGGCTCTGCATAGACCGGCAGGGGATGTCCTGGGACCTCCCCTGCCGGCCTCGGCCCATGGACACCGCGGCCCACCGGGCATTTGCCGGTGTGCCCGATGGCCAGTCCGGGCCTGAGTGTGGGGATGGGGCTAGTGATTGGCTATATGTGTTTAGGGGAGTGGTTATGGGTTTGTAGTGGGGCAGGGATCATCGTGCCTTTTGGGATTCTGGCCAGCAAACAACTTCCCACCCACCCACCCTAATTTTCTGTTTTTGTTCTGTCACAGCTAGCGGGGAGCGTGTCCTTGCCAACAGGGTTGGGGAGCAGATGCAGGGCCGGCGCGTCCATAAGGCGGCACAGGCGGCCGCCTTAGGGCGCACTGGCTCTGGGGGCGCAAAATTCCAGTGACCGGCAGGAGGGAAGTGCTCCCTCCTGCCAGGTCACCTCCTGGATCTGGCGGCGGAAGCGACATGTGCCGAGTTGGCGAGGAGTTTCTGATCTTTCTGATCTGCCCCGCAGGCTGTTTACTGATGACGTCATATTCCGGCTCCCGCGGCATCAGTAAGCAGCCTGCGAGGGAGCACATCAGAGAGATCAGAGCTCCCTCGCCACCTCGGCATGCAATTCAGCTGCACGCCTCCCGGCCGCCCCACTGGACCACCAATGAGAGACCCACGCCAGCTCTCCAGGTAGGGAGGCTGGGTGGGAAATTTTAATTTAATTTAGATGATTAATTACTGTTAGTGTGTGTGTGCATGTGAGTGAGTGTGTCTGTCAGTGTGTGTGTGTGTGTGTCTGTCTGTCAGTGTATGTGTGTCTGTCAGTGTGTGTGTGTATGTGTGTCTGTCAGTGTGTGTGTGATGTGTGTCTGTCAGTGTGTGTGTGTGTGTCTGTCAGTGTGTGTCTGTCAGTGTGTGAGTGAGTGTGTCTGTCAGTGTGTGAGTGAGTGTGTCTGTCAGTGTGTGAGTGTGTGTGTCTGTCAGTGTGTGTGTGTGTGTGTGTGTGAGTGTGTGTGTGTGTGTGTGTGTGTGTGTGTGTGTGTGTGTGTGTGTGTGTGTGTGTGTGTGTGTGTGTGTGTATGTGAATATGTGTGTGTGTGTGGTTCTGTCAGTGTGTGTGTGTGAGTGAGTGTGTCTGTCAGTATGTGCGTGTGTGCATGTGAGTACATGTGTCTGTCAGTGTCTGTGAGTTTGTGTCTGTGTGTGTTTGTCAATGAATGAGTGTCAGATAAGTGAGTCTGGCTGTCAGAGATGTCTGTGTGTTTGTCATTGAGTGTGTGTGACTGTCAGTGTTTCTACACCCCTGACTGTAGCGTGGCCAAGCGGAGTGTACCGTGGTACAGGAACTTCTGTTTCCTGTACCTAGCAGGACTGACAGGAAAAGCTCACTGTACCGGGATTCGCTCCGCTCAGCCACGCTACAAGAAAGGTAGGAGGCACACCAGGAAGGGGAGGGGACCACTATGGGGGTGGGTGGCGCACCAAGGGACATGGAGAAGAGGGGAGAGATACCCTAAGGTACAGGAAAAGGAGGGAGGGGGAGAGGAACACTAAGCGACAGGGAACAGAGGGGGGAGGGGAGAGGAACACTAAGGGACAGGGAAAGGAGGGGGGAAGGGAAAGGAACACTGAGGAACAGGGAAAGGAGGAGAGAAGGGAGAGGAGCAGTAAGGGTCAGAGAAGGGAGGGGACCATTAAGGGACAGGGAGAGGGGCTGGATGTAAAAGAAACACACAGCGGGGCTTGAGAAGGAAAGAGACACACAAAGGAGCTGGGAAGAATAAAAGACACAAAGAGGAGAGATAGGAGACACAAAGGCAAAAATAGGAGATAAAATACACTAAAGGGAGTCAGATATTTAAAAGACGGGATAAGAAACACAAAAGGGAGGTTAAGAGGCACATGGGCGAATATGTTTTTGGGGGGGGGAGGAAAAATGCATCTTCGCCTATGTACCCAAAATTCTTTGCACCGGCCCTGAGCAGATGGAATGTCAGGAGATGGACATGGTGGGTCTCAACCTCCCCTGCTCTGTAAGGTAAACTTTTAAGTTACCGAATAGGACGTGCCCACCGAGCAAAAAGCCGGCTGGCTGTAGAGCATTTAAGATGATGGGAATTTTTGGTTTGGACGAGGGGGGAGGCGAGACACCAGTGGGTAAAGTTTTGGTGCATAGGCACCTGGTTAAGTTCGTTGGCAAGGACGGTTATTTAAGTTGGAGGCTGTAGGGCAATAAGTGTAATTTATATGTTAATTTATATGTTAATTATGGTATGTATATATATTTATCTGTTTATTTTTTATATTTGAATTAAAGAAAAAGAATAAAGTTCGGATGAGTCCTACAGTTGTAAGTTTAATAAATGCTGTGGCCTGTTTCATCCAATATTCGTTGTTTGTCATTATTGGGGTAGTCTCCTTACTCTTAGTCGCACCACATTCCCCGCTACGTACATACATGTTTACATTTTATTTTAATCAAAACTTATACATTTGGCTGAGTCCTTATGGGGTTAAACATGGATTCCTGTGAGTCTGTGTTTGCTGTATACAGCAGCTTTAAAACACAACTTGGGAAAAGATGCAAAGCCAGTGATCCACTCGTGGAAAGTTGTTTCATTGTTAAAGGACCACTATAGTGCCAGGAAAACATCCTCGTTTTCCTGGCACTATAGTGCCCTGAGGGTGCCCCCACCCTCAGGGACCCCCTCCCGCCCGGCTCTGGAAGGGGGAAAGGGGTAAAAACTTACCTTTTTCCAGCGCTGGGCGGAGAGCTCTCCTCCTCTCTCCGCCTCCGATCCACCCCCGGGCTGAATGCGCACGCAGCGGCAAGAGCTGCGGCGCATTCAGCCCGTCTCATAGGAAAGCATTTTGCTTTCCTATGGACGCTGGCGTGTTCTCACTGTGAAATTTTCACAGTAGCAAAGCGCCTCTAGTGGCCGTCAATGAGACAGCCACTAGAGGATTAGGGGGAAGGCTTAACCCATTCATAATTATAGCAGTTTCTCTGAAACTGCTATAATTATGAAACAATGGGTTGAGCCTAGCTGGACCTGGCACCCAGACCACTTCATTAAGCTGAAGTGGTCTGGGTGCCTAGAGTGGTCCTTTAATGCAAGTCATCAACATGAGGTTGGTTATTGGCTTGCTATTGAGGCTTGGCAGTACTTGCGAAGCAAAAACCAAATAAGTTATGCTGGGGAACAATTGTGATTGAAAACCCCTTCCACCTGAAGTCTGTGGATAGTCAATACAATATTAAACAAAAATCGACACACCAGTCGAGCCTTAAGACTTGCTTTTCCCACAGAAATCAAATCTGCAGTGATGTTACTACCGCAAAGGATTCTGGGTGGGCATATGCAAATTAGTTAAACAAAAAAATGAAATTTTGGCCTCATTGTGATTCTTTTCAATCACAATTTTTCCATACCATGACTTTTCTGATATATATATATATATATATACACACACACACAATGCTCAAAAAAATAAAGGGAACACTTAAACAACACAATGTAACTCAAAGTCAATCACACTTCTGTGAAATCAAACTGTCCACTTAGGAAGCAACACTGAGTGACAATCAATTTTACATGCTGTTGTGCAAATGGGATAGACAACAGGTAGAAATTATAGGCAATTAGCAAAACACCCCCAATAAAGGAGTGGTTCTGCAGGTGGTGACCACAGACCACTTCTCAGTTCCTATGCTTCCTGGCTGATGTTTTGGTCACTTTTTAATGCTGGCGGTGCTTTCACACTAGTGGTAGCATGAGACGGAGTCTACAACCCATAAAAGTGGCTCAGGTAGTGCAGCTCATCCAGGATGGCACATCACTGCGAGCTGTGGCAAGAAGGTTTGCTGTGTCTGTCAGTGTAGTGTCCAGAGCATGGAGGTGCTACCAGGAGACAGGCCAGTACATCAGGAGATGTGGAGGAGGCCGTAGGAGGGCAACAACCCAGCAGCAGGACCGCTACCTCGACCTTTGTGCAAGGAGGAACAGGAGGAGCACTGTTCCGAGCCCTGCAAAATGACCTCCAGCAGGCCACAAATGTGCATAAGTCTGCTCAAACGGTCAGAAACAGACTTCGTGAGGGTGGTCCACAGGTGGAGGATGTGCTTACAGCCCAACACCGTGCAGGATGTTTGGCATTTGACAGAAAACACCAAGATTGGCAAATTCGCCACTGGTGCCCTGTGCTCTTCACAGATGAAAGCAGGTTCACACTGAGCACATGTGACATACATGACAGAGTCTGGAGACACCGTGGAGAACGTTCTGCTGCCTGCAACATCCTCCAGCATGACAGTGGGTCAGTAATGGTGTGGGGTGGCATTTCTTTAGGGGGCCGCACAGCCCTCCACGTGCTTGCCAGTTGTAGCCTGACTGCCATTAGGTACCGAGATGAGATCCTCAGACTCCTTGTGAGACCATATGCTGGTGCGGTTGGCCCTGGGTTCCTCCTAATGCAAGACAATGCTAGAACTCATGTGGCTGGAGTGTGTCAGCAGTTCCTGCAAGATGAAGGCATTGATGCTATGGACTGGCCTGCCCGTTCCCCAGACCTGAATCCAATTGAGCACATCTGGGACATCATGTCTCGCTCTATCCACCAATGTCACGTTGCACCACAGACTGTCCAGGAGTTGGCAAATGCTTTAGTCCAGGTCTGGGAGGAGATCCCATCAGGAGACCATCCGCCACCTCATCAGGAGCATGCACAGGCGTTGTAGGGAGCTCATACAGGCACGTGGAGGCCACACACACTACTGAGCCTCATTTTGACTTGTTTTAAGGACATTACATCAAAGTTGGATCAGCCTGTAGTGTGTTTTTCCACTTTAATTTTGAGTCTGACTCCAAATCCAGACCTCCATGGGTTAAAAAATTTGATTTCCATTTTTTTATTTTTGTGTGATTTTGTTGTCAGCCCTTTTAACTATGTAAAGAACAAAGTATTTCAGAAGAATATTTAATTCATTCAGATCTAGGATGTGTTATTTTTGAGCAGTGTATGTATATATATATATATATATAATACAATGTTAAACAAACATCTGCACACCAGTGAAGC